TCTGCTCAAGGCATCTGCAATCATATTCGCCTTGACCGGATGGTAAAGGATGGTAATATCATAGTCCTTCAAGAACTCAAGTCACCTGTGCTGCCTCAAATTAAGGTCACTATACCTAAACAAATGCTGCAAGTTGCGATGATCGGTGTAAACCTCATAGGACACCCCAAAAAGATAATGCCTCCAGAGAATGAACTATCGCGGCCAATTTCAAATCATGTACGGGGTAATTCTTCTCGTAGGGCTTTAGCTAACGTGAAGCATATGCAATAACTTGCCCCTCCTGCATCAATACACAACCCAATCCAACACGTGAATCATCGCAATACACGGTATACACCCTTGAACCAGAGGGCAATAACATCAATGCTATAGTCAAAGTGGTCTTGAGCTTCTGAAGGCTCGCCTCGCAAAACTCGGATCATCTGAACAGATCACCCTTCTGGGTCAATCTAGTAAAAATTTCTATGATAGACGAGAAGCCCTCCACAAACAGACGATAATAACCTGCTAATCCAAAGAAACTCCTAATCTCGATTGCTGCGGTAGGACGAGGCCAACTCTGGACTGACTCAATCTTTCTAGGATCCACCTTAATACCCTCACCTGATACAACATTCCCCAAGAAATCCACAAAATCTAACTAGAACTCACACTTGGAGAATTTAGCATATAGCTTCTGTTCCTGCAAGGTCTGAAGCATTAACCTCAAATGTTGCTTGTGTTCCCCCAAACTACGTAAGTAGATCAATATGTCATCAATGAAGATAATGACAAATAAGTCAAGATACATCCTGAACACCTGATTCATCAAATCCATAAATGCCACCGGAGCGTTAGTCAAGCTAAAGGACATCATTAAAAACTCATAGTGCTCATACCTGATCCGGAAAGTCGTTTTCGGAATATCTGAAGCATGAATCTTCGCCTGATGATACCCAGACCTCAAGTCGATCTTAGAGAACAACCCGCCACCATGTAACTAGTCAAACAGGTCATCAATGCGCGATAACAGGTACTTATTCTTGATGGTATCTTTGTTCAACTGGTGGTAATCAATGCACATCCGCATACTCCCATCCTTTTTTTCACAAATAACATTGGTGCGCCCCAAGGCGACACACTAGATCTAATGAACCCCTTCTTAAGAAACTCCTGAAGCTACTCCTTTAACTCTCTCAACTCCTTGGGAGCCATGCGATAAGGCAAAGTAGAAATAGGCTGGGTGCTTGGCACTAAATTTATGCCGGAATCGATATCATGATCTTGCGGCATACCTAGTACATCAGCAGGAAATACATTAGAAAACTCGTGTACCACCGTCACTGAATCTAATATGGGAGTCTCTACAGTAGTATCCCGAACAAAGGCCAAATAGGCCAAACAGCCCTTCTCGGCCATATGTGTCCACACTAGTGGGTGATTCCTATAACAGTCTTGGCATAGTAATCAAGAATGGCATGGTACAGAAACAACCAGTTCATGCCTAGAATAACCTCAAAATCAACCATATCGAGTAATAGAAGATCCGCTTTGGTCTCATACACACAGAAAGTCACCACACATGATTAGTAGACCTGATTCGCAATAATAGAATCACCCACTAGTGTGGACACATGTACAGGAACGCCCAAGGACTCATGAGATACATCCAGATAAGGAGCAAATAGAGAAGAACCTCAGGAATAAGAAGACCCGAGATCAAATAATACCAAGGCATCCCAACAGTAGACAGAAATAGTACTTATGAATACTGCATCAGAGGCGAATGCCTCTAGCCTGGTGGGGAAAGCATAACATCTAGACGGAGCGCCGCCTTACTAGCCTCCACATATAGGGAGACCCTACCCACCTACCCTCTACCTCTGGCCAGACGGGAAGGCGGTGTGGTAGCTGGTATGGTAATCATGGGCCGATGGTCCTTCTTCTCGACCTTGCCCCGAAGTCTGGGACAAAACCTCTTCACATGGCCAAACTCCCCACATTCAAGACAACTCATTGGAGTAGTGGACTGCTGACCTGAAGTCTGACCTTGATGGCTTGAATACCCGCTGGAGGAACCCTGAATAGCTGGCGGATGGTAAGTGCTCTCTAGAATGGCACTAAAGTGCTGGAGCACTCTGAGTAGGCAGTGATGCTAACTGCATGGGCCTGCTAGACTGACCCTTCATGAACTGACCTTTTCCCTCAGGTGGGGCGCCACTAAATCTTCCAAACTATTGGGGCCGCTTGTCCCTCAGTTCAAACTCTCCATTGCGGTAGCGAATACTCTCAATCCTCCAAGCTATATTCACAACATGCAAAAAGAGAGTCCTCATCTCTGCCTTACGGGACATAGAAACCTGAATCTCAGGGTGCAGACCTATTATGAACCTCCGCACCCTTTCTGCATCTGAGGGGAGTATAATAGCTGCATGGCGACACAAGTTAGTGAATCTTGCCTCATAGTCGGTTACAGATATATGACCTAGACAGAGTCTCTCAAACTGACCCCGAAGCTCCTCTCTCTTCGAAGGCGGTATGTACTTCTCCAAGAACAGATGCACAGACTGATCCAAAGTCAAGGGAGGTGAACCTGTTGGCCTGCTAAGGAGGTAAGCCTGCCGCCATTTACGAGCCTTGCCCTCAAGCTGAAAGGTGGTGACGTCCACCCCGTTGGACTCCAATATCCCCATATTATGTAGCCTATCCTTGCACCGGTCAATGAAATCCTGGGTTCCTCTAATTAGGGGGGAGAAGCCTAGTCCATCTATCTAGCCACTTCTACTGATCAACGGTCGCGACTGGTAAGGACTCTAGCACAACCACTACAATCGTCTGGACTCCGCTCGCAATTAGTGCACCTAGGTCTAATAAACGGTAGCAGCGTTCCCTGGAGCCTGAGCGGTAGGGGTCTATGCTCCCCCTCCCATATGAGATGTGGTTGGGTCTGCTAGAAATAAACTCGCCTGCATCATAGAGTCTATGAACCAAAGCATTCGACCCATGACCTCCTGAAATCCCGGTAATGTCATGAAATCTGTTGAGGCTGGCTCAGTTGTAGGGGCCTCATCCTTCTCCTCAATAATAGGATCCTCCATTAGTATGGACTCCCATCACCTCGTACATACGTCGCTCCCCACAGTAAGTAGCATACTTAAGTTAATATACCTAAGGGGATAAGTTACCTCTTACAAGGTTAGGCAAGAGACTTACCTCACTTTCAAGTCCACTAACCGGCTCTTTCATCTTATTAGAACTCCCCAAACGAAGCCGAGCAATCCGAAGCTAATCAAAAATTGTATAAACTAATCAATAAGTGCTCAAAAGTTCATAATTTAGCTATTAAACTAATTTCCCAAATAAATTCGAAAGTTCGTAAAAATCACCCTAGGGCCCGTATGCCCAGATTTTGAACATTACTAAAGATAAATGTCATCTATGACTTCAGAACTCAAATATATAATTTATTTTTAATTCCATAATCAATCATGGTTAGACCTTATTTTTATCAAAACCTAGGTTTTTCAACAAACTCCTAAAATTTCCAAATTTTACCCGTTAAATTCTACCCATAATATATGTATTTAACTTATATTAGGTAGAAATTTCTCACCTTACAATGCTTGATGAAATCCCATCTCTAAAAAGCTCCAAATTCAGACCATACAAATGGAAATAGGAAAATAGGCCTAAATCTCATCTTTAAATCAAAGCATTGCCCAGTTGACCCTTCTTCGCGATCGCGGAAGAAGCCTCACAATTGCGAAGGAATAGCTGGCCCTAGCCCTGAAGACCTTCTTCGTGAATGCGAGGGCAGTCTCACGATCGTGAAGGCTTGCCCTGCCTGAGCTTTACGAAAACGATAAAGCCCTTCGCGAACGCGAAGAGCAAAGGTGGCTGACCCACCCCATGCCCTTTATTCTACGCGAGCGCAGGCCTATGTACGCGGACACGAAGGCTACTGGTCCCAGACCTTCGCTAACGTGACCTCTTGACCGCGAAGGCGAAGAGAAAAATGCCCGGTTCCGCAATTCCTTCTATGCAAACGCAACTCTACCTTCGCGTTCGCGAAGAAGGAAATCAGAACAGCAACAACAGATTTTCAAACTTAGCTACGGGTGGTCCAAAATTCACCCGAACCACCCGGGACCCCAAACAATCACACCAACAAGTCCATTAACATAATACAGACCTGTTTGAATTTTCAATTAGCACTGAATGCATCGAATCATACTTAGACAACTCAGAATGAGACCAAATTTGCGGACAAGGCATAAATTACCATACGGATCTATTCACAAACGCGGAATCCTAAACGGATCGCGATTGCACCAAAGTCTACTCCAAACAAAATTTAAAGAACTAGAAAACCTTCCATGAGCTAACTTTCATCATTAGGCATCGAAACGCTCCTGAATTATTCGAGACTCAATCCAAACATACGCCCAAGTCCAAAATCATCATATGAACCTCGAACCATCAAATTCCGATTTAGAGGTCGTTTATTCAAAATGTTGACTCATGTCAAACTTGGCCATCTTCGGTCACTATTAAGGAACTAAGTATTCCGATTCTAACCCGAACCGTTCCATACCGAACCAACCATCTTTGCAAGTCATAAAATAGTAAAAGCACATACAGGGAGTCTTAATAAGGGGAACGGGGATCCCGAAAATAATATTACCGGTCGGGTTATTACAATGAAAGTATCAGGGAACCCATATCCTACCAGTGCTTCAGCTATGAACTCCCGTCTCACCATGTCGTATGCCTTCCTTAAATCTATTTTTATTAAACACCTCGGCGAGGTTTTCCTGTTATAGTATCCCAAAAGGTCATGACATATAAGGACATTATGTACCAAGGATCTCCCTTCAACAAATGCTACCTGATTTTGTGCCACCAGATAGTTCAAAGCTTGTTTCAAACTCTTGCATATTACTTTGGATATACACTTGTAGAGGACATTACAGTAGGATATTAGTCGAAGTTGACTGGCATACTATGGGCTTGGTACCTTAGGTATCAAGGTTATCATTGTGGCATTCAAGTGCCAGTAGCTTGCCATTGCTCAGAAATTGGAGTACTGTAGTGGTGGCATCTTTCCCTACAATCCTCCTTGCCATTTTTACGAGATCACTTCCATATCCATCAAGGCCTGGTCTCTTGTTGTTGTCAATACTAAATATAGAATCCCTCACATATTTATATGTGTATGGTTTTATCATATCCATCTGTTGTGTTGTTGATAACACAGGTCCATTCCTCATAATTCTTCTTGCTGCTCTTGTTCTATCTACTGCTTTCTTCCCCAATAATTCTTTATAATACTCTACAAATATCTTGGCATTCTCTTCTGGTTCTATGTGTATAACATCATTGTCATCCCTTAACTGCATAACGACCTCTTGAAGTTTCTTGTGTTTAATTATAGAGAAAAAACATTTTGAGTTGTCATCTCCAATCCTTATCCATGTTGCTTTACTTCTCTGCTGCAGAAAGCTTTCTGCCAGGTAAGAATACATTCTAAACTTCTAATATTGTGCTTTTTCCTTTCCCTGTAGGTCCTGATATCTTGGGGGTGTGTGTAACTCTCTTTGTATCTGTCCAATTTTATCCTGTCATCTTCTGCTTCTGCAAAGATATCCCTAAAATGGAGTTTGTTTAGTTCCTTCAATACTTGCTTCAATGCCTTTAGTTTCTTCAAATCCTGATACATAGCACATCCATGCACCTGCATTTGCCATGTTGTCTCAACTTTTTCCAACAAACGTTGAAGACTTGCCCATATCTTGTAGTACTTGAATGGTCTGCTTGCCTTATGTTTTGTATATAATTGTTCCACCTTAATTGGATTGTGGTCATTTATGCCCTCTGTTAAGATATCTAGCTACATATACAGGCATTTGATTCAGCCATTCATTATTGATGAACACCCAATCAAATTTAGAATACACTTTATTTTCCCCTTGTCTATCATTCGATGTGAATCTACTTCCTGTGGCAGGTAATTCTATCAGGCCGCTAGACTCCATACAGTGCTGGAAATCTAATACTTCCCTCTGTTACTGTGTTTCCACCAATTCAATCCTAACATAGCTCCATGGAATAGTTTATCAGCTAGCTGCTCTATTCTTTCTTTATTTATTTTTGTTGCTACCAAACCTACCATTCCTACACCTTCTCTTTTGCAGAGAAGTTGGACTTCCTTCTGATTATTGGGGCTGTTTAGGCCCCTTATATTCCATCATATCATATTATTCATTTCTAGAGGAGGTATTTGATGTCCTCCCTCATTCCGGCCCATATTTAGTGGTCCTTACAAACTAGTTCCTTGCATGTTCAGTGCCTGCAATGTGTTTGTAGCCTGCATATGCAACATTTGTTTTGTCTGCTGCTTCCTAGTGTTCAGAGGTGTAATCCACCCCTCTTTATCAATTCGCTATCTATCCTTCTATGTCTTTCCTTTCTCCTCCTGTTGCCCTGAGCTCTGTTGATTCTCTTCTATACTTATCTCTTGTGCATCCTGTCTTCCTTCATTTGTTTCTTTCAAAATGGGTGGCATAGGTCCCTTTGTTTCCTCCCCAATATATTTATTCTTCTTTCTACAGTTTTCATCAGTGTGCCCATATTTCTGGCAGAACTTACACAGTGTAGGCCTCCAATCATATTGCACCCTTTGGTCAACCAGATTACCTCGTTCATTTCGGAACAATATCTTTTCAGGTAGATGCCCATCAATGTCCACCTCAATCTATAGCCTAGAAAAGCTCAACCTCACCTTCTTTTCAATGTTTTGGTCCACCATAAGTGATTTCCCAATTAAACTTCCAATTTTACTTAGTTATTTGGGACTGCAATATTTAAAATCTAATCCAGGTAATTTCATCCATATAGGTACTGTATGTTGTTCCTCTTTCGTGAATCCATCTCTGGGTTCCAAACTTTAACTATGAACGGCTTGTTATCAAAATGATAAATGCCTCCCTGAACAGCATCATCCCTCCCAATTACAGAATCAAACCTTACCAATACTATCCTATTTTTTCAGCATTACTATGTTATTTATCCCAAATTTAGCCCACAAACGTTGTATGTAGCCAATTAGTATTGAGAAAGGGGTATGTTCCCCCAGAATACACAGAACAGCAGTTTGCCAATACTCAATTTCAGAAGTTAGATCATCTACTCCAATTTCACAAACAGGTACCTCATCGATTATATTCTGGCGTTAAGAAATCCAATTTGAAACCAGCATTAGATATCTTATTGATGTTAAAATTATCCCAAATTGAACTCCTCCCGGTCAATTTTGTCGACTTCTCCTGTTCAATTGCCTCTGCTTCAACTTCTTCCACCCATGAAATCTTCCCCTTACTGTTGGATGCTTGAATTGCCGACCATTCCTCTATAATTTGGGATTTTCCAATTCATGTACCATGCTCTTCATTCACCTCTTTCCTTTTCTCCGATACTTCTAATTCATTATTTTTTATCTTTTATGCTTAATTTTCCTGCCTCTGCTGCTGGTTACATATTTTCTGCGCTTGTTCCTGCATCATTCTCACCTTCTCCGTAGGAATTCGAGCTTTCCTTCCTATGGATGGAGTAGGTTATGCTATATTACGCCAAAGAGAAACATTTCTCTTGCGATTTTTATGAGAAAAACTTAAGCAGCAAGAACCTAAGAAAACCGTGACAATGGATCACTAACCGTTGCAAGAGGAGCCTAAAGAGTCGAAGAAAAGGAGCTAATTCGACAAGGTTCGATCATAGTCATGGTTGGACCTAAGCCAGAGCTGAAACTGAAGAATTGAAGAACCGTTGGCTCAACCGTTAACCTAATGAGATATTTTTGTTCACTCTTGGGACTTAATATAAATAGATATTCTTAGATCATTTTAGGGTAACTTTTGCATAAGAAAATATTGTGAGCGACCTTTGGAGTTTTCCTTAAGTGTTTTGGGTGATTTTTTCATAGTTTGCTCAATCTTAATTTCTCTACTCTTTTAGATATTATGTTTAGATTTTTCATCATCTTTCTATTTTCTTTCTTTATTATGTCTAAGCACTTTAAGCTAGGATTATGAATCCTAAATGTGGTTATACTTTTGTGTTATTAATATAAGTTCTACATTTGATTAATTCTAAACTTAAAGTTACTAAAATGCACGTCAAAGGCTGAATAACCATTGTACCCTTCTCTTGAAGACTATTCATATAGCAATATTTTTGTATCAAAAGGTAAATTTATTTTCAATAAATTAATTGTACAGATTTCTAAAGCTAATTCCTTTAAGGCCTGATGGAATAGTTTAATTCCTACAGCGTATTCATTTCCTTAGAACTCTGTTCATCTTTCCCTTCATTACAAATAAATAGTTTATCTCAGCCATTTACTATTCATTTAATAGTTGTTCTTTCAGCTTCCAACCGTATTTACACAGTCAATGTGTTCCTCTACTTATTTTTTAAATACATAAGGAGATACGAACTTAGATAACTAAGTAGGGAATTTGTCGCACTTCGCACGGTTATACATGACAGCAATGTATATTTATAAATAAATTTAGTTGAGATAGAATAGATAATATTTTTAAGTGTATATGCATATATTGCATGTTAGAGTATCTCAGTTGGGTAAATAATATGGTACTCTAAAAAAACAAAGAAAACTCAGAGAAAATGACTATCTAAGCTTATTCTCTATTGAACCATCCTCTCAGGACTCCAAAAATCTATCTATAAAGGAAAACATGTGAGTTAAGATTTAAATATAAATAGATATAGTTGTTTAAAAATCTATTAATAGAGGTAAACATGTAAGATACTTGTTTCATTAGATGGAAAAAAACTACCATTGATAATGAATATCCTCAACGCTTACGTATTTTATTAGATGGTAAAAATCACTATTGATAATGAACATCCGCAACACCATGTTACTTATCATCTAGGAAAGATACAATTTAGTGACACAATATATAACGATCCGGCCGGTTGTTTTGAGTACTTTAACCCCGTTTTACCTATTTGATAATTTACTTATATGTATTTGAGGTTTCATGACTTGACAAGATAGTTTGTTTGATTTTGGGAAAGTTTCGAAGTAAATTGAGACACTTAGTCCCAATGTTGAAAGCTTAAGTTGAAAGAGCTGACTGGAATTTGACTTTTGAGTAGGCGACTTCGAAATGGAGTTCTAATAGTTTCAATAGCTTCGTATGGTAATTTTAGACTTAAGTGTATGTCTGAATTTGGATTTGGAGGTCTGTAGGTTGGTTTGGTGCATTTTGGTGAAAATCGAAAAATTGAAGATTTGGAAGGTTGATAAGTTCGTCCGAGAGTTGAATTTATTGATATCGGGTTTGGGTTTTGATTTTGGGAGTTGGAATAGGCTTGTTGTGTCATTTAGGACTTGCATGCAAAATTGGAGGTCATTCTGAGGTGTTTAAGCATGTTCGGCGTAAGTTTTGAATTTGGAAAGTTCATTAGTTTTTGTAAGCCTAAATTGGGGTGCGATTCATGATTTTGATGTTATTTTGTAGGATTTAAGGTCCCGAATAAGTTTGTGTTATATTTTAAAATTGGTTGGTATGATTGGACGTCGTCTAGGGGGGCTGGGGGAGGGGGCTCAGGTGTGATTCAGATGAATTTCGGAATATTTCGCTGTGAGTTTGATTTCTGATCTAATGTCTGGAATTTTCTTCTTCACGATCACGACATAGTGATCACATTCACAGAGGGCTTCTTGGTTGGCGGGAGAATTTTTCTTCACATTTGCGAGTTGGTGCACGCGTTCGCGATGCTTTGGAGGACAGTGGCCTTCGCGATTGCGTGAGGGACAACGCGTTCGCGTAGAAGGGAAGCTGGCTGCGGGCATCAGGCCTTAAGCCTTCACGCTCGCGTTAGAGGATAAGCGTTCACGTAGCCGTGGCAGTATTGGTCATCACATTTGCAACTAGTATGCCGCATTCACGAGGAGATTTTGGCAGTTGGAGAATTTTGTTCTTCGCGATCGCGAAAGCATTTCTGCGATTGCTAAGGGTATGCTTGGGCAAAATGTTTTAAATACTCTATTTCGAAGGATTGGGTTGTTATATCACATTTTGGGTTAAAGAGCTTGGTTTGGGCGATTTTGGAGGGGATTTTTACGATTTGGATTGGGGTAAGTATTTTTGACTCGGAGTCGTTCATTCTTCATGATTCCATCTTTATTTTTAGCATTTAATTGATGAATCTAATTGAAGAAATTGGGAATTTTAGTAAAAACTTTCCTAAAGTATAAATTCAGGATTTGAAGGCCGATTTGAGGTCGGAATTATATAATTTATGGTTGGACTCGTAATCGAATAGGTGTCCAAAATTTGTGAGTTTGATCGGTTTCTGAGGTGCGGGCCGGGGTTAACTTTTTGATTTTGGTTAAAGATCTTATATTTATCAATTGAAATCGGTTCATATGGCTTTTATTGATAATATTAAGTTATTTTCGCTATATTCGAGCCGTTCGGAGGTTGATTCATGCGGGAAAGGCTTGTTAGAGGATTGATTTGGTTTGCTTGAGGTAAGTATCTTACTTAAACTTGGTTGTGGCACTAGTTGCCTGAGTTATTTATGAGAGCTACGTGCTATGAGTGACACATATTTATGTGGGTTGAGCCCATTTGCGTGTACCGAGGTATTTATCCATGCTCAGAGTAGTGCTTCGGCTATGATATGCCTTAACTTGATTGCTAAGCTTCATGTTGTGATGTTCCTCTTATTTGTACACTTGTTGTAAGCTATTTGAGCCATGTTCGAGGTTGCATAGAGGTTAATCTCCTAATTACACCTGATAGATACTATTTTTGTGATGTATTCACCTAATTTGGGCTATAATATCACACTTGCACATACACTTTAGCATGTCACACATGTACCATTCCAAAATTATGAAGTTTGATATTATTGATCATGTACATGTATTCTTGCATATTAGCTTTATGTGTAATATGGTTGGGACTGGTAGCCTATGACCTCGCTGGGCAAATTGTGATATTGTGCGCATGACCATGCCGGATGGAATGTGATATTATGCACGTGACCACACATGGCGAATTGTAATTATTAACACATGAGTTGTCTGTGAAGCACGTGAGTTATTCGTGTGACACGTTAGTTGTTCGTGCAGTTAATATTATTAGCACGTGAGAGTCTGTGCAGCACGTGAGTTGTCTATGCAGCGTGTGAATATGGATCCATACCCTAGGGTCACCCTCTTATGTTTCTCTCTTGATGGTGTACACGCGAATTGAGGAAAACTGATTAGTGGTTGGTGCAGTTATGGAGATTCTGAGAAAATCTGGCCAGTATTATTTGGTTATCGCATTTCATCTTTAATTGTAATTTTCCTTAGTTATTTACATGATCTACTTGCATATCATCTTTATATATGTTGGATTACCGACTGAGCAGAGTACTTGATAAACTTACACCGGGATTGTTCATTTTGTGATTTATGACTTGGTCATGTTATTATTCTGTACTTGTTAAATATATGAATTGTACAGGTACTACAAAAATGAAGGCCTTTCGCAACAACATTTTTTGTTGCCATATATTCAACGTTGTTGGCAAAAATGTTTTTGGCAACGACAAAGAAGTCGTTGCACTCCGCTGCAGTAAACACCGATGGGAAAAGTATATGCAACAACAGAGAATATTGTTGCCAAAAGGTAACTTATCGCAACAATATCTACCGTTGCCGTAAGTTATTTTTTGTTGGTAAAAGGTCAATGAAGTCGTGGGTTTTGAAGACATGTAGCAATAAAAAATTATTGTTTCGACAACATTAGTTTTTTACCAATAATATCAGTTGTTGCTAAAAAAAATTAGCGATAAAGTTAATAATCTGTTATCAAGACTTTTAGCAACAATTGTTATTGTGACAATAATACCTTTTTGCCAATAGATTCTCTAGTACTACTTTGGCAATAATTTATATGTTGTTACTAAATACACAATTCATATATTCTTTAAATTTTCACAAATACAAGTACGAATTATAAATCGTATTTTAAATAAATATAAATAAAGTGTCTACACTAAAAATTTATGAAGTGGATATACTAACTTTCAAAAACTAAATAATCCTAAAAGTATATCTTTACTTACAAAACGAGTAAAAGCATCATATATCCAAGGTCCTTAAGTTCTATTCTAATAGTAACCCAAAAAATAAATCTTCCAAGGTCCTTAAGTTCTATTCTAATAGTAACCAAAAAAATATAAATCTTCCAAGGTCCTTAAGTTCTATTCTAATAGTAACCAAAAAAATAAATCTTCTTCCAACAGCTTGTGCACCTCATGAACCAGATGTGAGGATTGTTCAATTACGCATGCTCATCCTAAAAAGAAAATAAATATAATTAGATTTTGATAAAAAGAAGCAATAAAGTACAAAAATGCAAAATGAAACTAGTGGAAGCTTATTTAACTGTTACTACTTATAACAACAACATACCCAGTATTATCCCGCATAGTGGGTATGGGGAGAGAAATGTGTACACAGACCTTATCCCTATCTTGTGAAGATAGAGAGGTTGTTTCCCATAGACCCTTGGCCCATGACAACATAAGCACAAATTAATGAAAAGAAAGATAACACGGGACAATACTAAGAAGCCATGTAAAAGAAGCACAAAAAATATCAAGATGGTAAGATGACCAAAATGACTGTAACAGGAACCATCAACCTAAAAAGAGCTTGTGGAAACACAAAACCTCAAAAGCACTCGCAGAAACATAGTTGGAAATATAAGATTACTAATGCACGACTAGGAGAAAGAAACAATCATCCACAATCTGGATTATGTGCAAAGGTAAAGTGCATCATGCTTGAAAGCACTCTTGATTTGATTTGATGCTTATTTCAAACTATTTGGTATGGTTATCATTTTTCCTTTTTTTCTTTTTCCACAGCCCGGCAAGAAATTATATAATCATTATATAATCCTGGTCACAAATAGCCATGCATATTTCAAGTCATCCTCCTGGACCTCCCATGGGCAATCAGACCAAAACGTCTAGTCTTCTTGAAACCAAAGACTTAAGAAAAACCAATAACATATTTTTATGAGAAATAACTTAAACAACAACAATCCAGTATAATCCCACAAGTGGGGTCCGGGGAGGGTAATGTTGTTTCTAAGTAGCTGACTAGCCTTGTGACGCTCCTACTTGTCTGTCGAACCATTTTGATTAACCTTCATAATATAGGCCTGCAAGATGTATTAATACTGAGGAAAACAAGTTCTAGTGGCCAAAATTGTCGATCCATCTCTAATTCTGGATGAGGACTTACTGAAAGAGATGTGGGCTATAGCAATTGTAGCGAAAAATAGATATGTAAGCTAGCAGTGCAAGCTTGAATAAAGTACTCCCCAAAATAAAGTTGCATCAGAACTTATTAATACTCCTAGAGATACAATACTATAGTCAAAACAAAATACTAGACAAGATTTATTTAATCAAACAGACTCATTTGCATATACAACCAAGAAACTTCCTTTCATGAACTAAAATAAGTTTACTTACCATGGTATCATCCATAAGACTTGTAAGACTTATCTCATCCGAATCATTTAAATTAGCAATCATATCAAAAATTGCAGCAGGAAGTTCAAATCTGTTAAACATTGTACAACTAAACTTAAACATGATAGAACCTCGACGAAGCAAATTTATAACATAAAAAATACTAGAACAAGTTTCCTTTCAGTAGAACACAATAGTTTCTAGAGATTCAAATAAATAGACAACATCTACATAGAGCATTTTATACCTTGAATATCTAAATTAATGTGAATCACATGCGAGTAACATACATCAACTGAAAAACCTCAGAAAAAAAAGGCTTAAATCACAGAATTTATACCAAAAGCAAGAATCGTCATGGAAGTGCCTTCAGTAAAACCAAGAACTATTTCTTTCCTTTGGGAGCAGAAAGGATAAAGTGCCTCAACCTAGGCTCTAACAAGGCCTCATTAGCATAAGACAAACTGATATATACAAAGAAAAAAAAAATATATTCAAACTACATGAGATCTCGATTTGAGGTTTGCACTTGAGTATGCAGATCATCGTCGAATAACATGCTCCTCACCTGACTTCCGATCAATGTGTCTAATCCAACGCTTGGCGTATTTTCGAGCCTTTTGATTTCCATATTTACTTGCTATATAAGCAACCTCCAATCCATTCCCAAATGGAAGTGTCACTGATCTCACAACACAAACTTTGCTATCAAGAACTCCATCCCAACTGAACTTATTAGTCTCTATATTCCTTCCATTTTTGCACACTAAAATTGCTCCACGATGGCTCAATTTAGCACTATTAAAGATTGAAAAAGAGTCACTTCTCTTCTCATCCACAATCAAAAAGTCAACCCCATTTAATCTTTCCATCACCTCTTCTGCCTCTCCCACCATCATTTCCGGCAAGGACATGCCTGAATTTTGCATGGCGCCTACATACGCTACTCTTGATTCTTCGTCTGGCACCATGCACACATACCTACAGAAATGAACCCCGAATTTAAACTTGATTTTTGTTCAAATTTTAAATCTTAATATTAATTCATTGCACTTTTGAAATTTTAGGTTATGACTTTTATATTTAAAATTTTTAGTAATTTTCTACATATATTTGTTAGTATGTGTTAAAGTTACTGGATCCAAGTGAGTCGGTATAAACTAGGTTGTATCCGCCTCTGCGTACCTGCCACGACTATGTTTTGACGCGACGGCTAGGCCGATGCTTGTGGAGATTGAGTCACCATTGATCTTATCACTTTTCCATGCTTCAACTATTAATTTGGCGTTGTACCCAGCCCCCATGGCTGATAAAAATTCTGCAGCACAGGATTTTCTTGAAATTCCACACTGCATATGAATACAAGTCCAAAAACAATTAAAGCACTGAATGAAAAATAAAATTTGGAGGAAAATATTCGAAGCAAAATCTGTTGCTGCTTACTGTCTTTATGGTGTCAAGATAAGCTTTTGAAGCTGTTTCAGGAGACCAAACTAGCTTCATCTCTGTCTTTTTCTCTTGTTGTTCTTCTTCTTCTTCCTCCTCCTTTGTTTTCAAGATATAAAAGAACTAGTGGTGTTCACAACAACTGTTGGCTGTTTTTAAATACAAACTTGAGAATATATATTATAAGATTCTTAAAGGACTAGTTGTTTTCTGGAGAGTACAGTTGACATTTTCTAGACACAACTACAACGTGTACACTAGTTGCAGTTCAACAGTCAATAAATGTAGTATCTAACTTTATACCGACTTTTATTTAATTATATATTATTCTATGGGTACACCCATACTTTATAAATGTTTTAATGACAAAGAATAGATATCTTGCTCTTTTTCCAACTTTATTTTTTTATTCGTATGACATTTAGTTGGTGTTGACGTTGAAGTAGTTAACAAGATTCGTGATCTACCTATTAGCTTTGTCTTTTCATGTTGGTATGCAAGAAATTAGGAGTGGTTTGGTATGAAGTACAAGAAGGTATAGGGATGGTATAAAAATTTAATATCACTTTAATACTCTGTTTGGTTAGCAAACCAAAAATAAGTTATTCTGGTATTAATTTTAATATCGGGATAACTTATACCTTATAGAGGGTGAGATAATTAACACCGGTATAACTTATGCCTTATTCTTATAAATTATACAATTGTCTTTCTTAATACAACATACCAAATAGTAAATAAACAACAATCCCAGCATAACTAATCTCGGCATAACTTATACCGGCATAACTTATACAGGCATAAACCATATTCCAACCAAACACTCCTTAAAGTATAAAATATGTTTTGTAAAGTGTAATTTTATAAGTCAAGTTGGAAATAATCATATTCTTATCCACTTATACATATATGGATGGCCGTACTTATATACAATCTTCAAGTAGTACACCAAAGGATGAGAGAGAAATGAAAAAGACAAAAGAGGTAAATGGTTATTGGTAAGTTGCATCAGAGCAAACAAAGTCAACTTCTCTATCAAGTTGAAATAAATTAATCCTTGAATTTGACGAACCACACAATAGGTTATAAGTAAAAAATGGCGCCTGCTATGACGAACATTGTTTGTAATATAGGGTGAAAAATAAGTTGACGTAGTTATATTATTTAGGAAGTCAAAAGAAATCCTTTTACTATACTTTTTAAATATTTTATATTACTATTTATTATTGATTATAAATTTTTTAATAAATTTCTAAGTATATACTATATTTATTTTTGTTTCAAAAACTAAAAAATATTTTGTTAGAATTACCGAAAATTATTAGTTTAATCATTTTACTCCGAACTATGCCAAGGTAAAATGCCCAACGTCCACATATATTTGAGGCACCCAAAAATCTCTTTTCTATTTTTCTTTTCTCTCCCCTTTTATCTATGATAATATATGTAAGAGGTTTTGTTTAAAACCTATGCTACCTGTTCCCACCTGATAAGGTCAATGGCAAGCTGTAACTTAACTTATCAACCCTAATATGATAGAGAACATATTCTTACAATTAGACAACTGCTTCATCAATTTTTCATTTTCTAAATCAAAATTTCTCATTAAAAAATTTAATGTTGCATCACTCATCCTCATGCTTGAATAAGTAGATAAATTGACCTTTCATCTTCACTAAGGTCAGTATATGTTTGCTATTTATCCTGTTGGCATGCTAGTCCAATTAAAAGTTAATTAACATCATTCAAGAATTTACAAATTAAGCCTTATGGATCCGATTATTTTGGAATTTAGAATTCTAAACTTGATAGAGTAGTTTAACCCTCCAAACCAAGTTGATACTTCCAAAAAAGTTATTTAGGCCTTATATTAAATACATGCATCGTTAAGATAAATATCTTCATATTATCCTATTGCTTTATATTATCTTATGCCATCTTTTTCGACCGCTTATAAACAACTCCAACAATTAACTCATATAGATAGGAAGCACGTAAGGCAACGACAGTTCAGAAAAAGACTAAGCAACTCCACTTGCACTAGCTTGGTTATATTGTTGGTTCTAAGTCGGAACAAAGAAGAAGAGCGATAGTAGGTTTACCGCCATTGTAAAGCTAGTTAATCCATATGAATTTTGGTTTGAAACTGAAGCGTCGTTGTAATTGTAGGTTTCTTTTACTACCATGGATGATAGTCAGCAGGGGCAGCTCAAGCACTTTATTGGCCTAAAGCCAAAATTTATTTGGAGCCCTTAAATTTGAAAAATAGAAAACTGTTATGAAATATATATTAATATGGATGTTCACTAATCAAATATAACTCCCACTACTCTTCTCCATTATGTAGATAACCCCCACTACTTCTCATCATTAAAGTTGTAACTCTCACGCCTCCATAACCTTCTCATAATCTTCTTCCATGATCTCAAACGTTTAATACCATATTTAAAGCAACCTTATTGTAAACCTTTATGTAACCCTATAAATAGAGGTATTGGGGATCATCTACTACATACTTGAACACACTTGAAAAATATTTGATGAAATAAGAAAGCTCTCTCTTTTCTCTATATTCCGTGTCTATTTTATTGTTTTATATTATATTTGAGCTAAGTTTCTTAACATGTTATCAGCATGAATTGCTCATTTCATGATTTTCTACATCAAGATTATGTGGTAGGTGCTCTTTAACTTCGACTCTGGTCATACCATTTTGGTGGGCAAGTAACTTTATTCTTAATGGTAAGAGTTTATACATTAATACTAATACAAAAATATCTAGTTTTATGCTCTTTAATCCTAAGAAATTAGAACTCATATGAAGTTTTTATGGGTAAAGTTTTACTCCTAAATATCAGTAAGGAACATAATTTTCTCCTAAACCAAAATCAATATTTTAGTGAAAATCTTAGAAGCTAGAAGTTTCTGTTTAGTAATTTTGGTGCTACTACTTATTCGGAATTTTTCTTTTCCTTCATGCTAATCTCTAATACATGACATACAGTCATATCATTACAATGATTTTGTAATGAACAAAACGTACGAATGCTATAGGTATTTTTTGTGTGATTATGCTATATTTGGTTTTAGGCTTTTGGCTATAGGTATTTTATGTGTGATTATATTAAGATTGATACACCCAAGTTTGTTACGAGGAAAATGGCGTTCGATCCCGTTAGCGGAGGATAAGACATCAGTTTTGAGTTCTGGTGCACCATAATGATAAAAGTTGGGTTCGAGTTTCAACTATTTATAGCCAAACATACTTTATATGGGTAGGGCATTGAGTTTGAGTCTCAATGCACCATATTGATGATATAATGATGATTAAAGAAAAATAATATATTTTTCATGAAAAAGTACGAAGCTTGTCCCACTTGATTTGCTCCATTCTTGAAGTAAATATGATAGCAGTGCATAATAAGTCTAAATGAAAATAAGTGGTTGACTAATGAACGTGGGCGTGCTAAAAATCTAAATAATAATAGTATCATTATGGTAATTGTAAAAAGGAGAACTAATAAGAGTTCTCAAAATAATCCTTTAACGGTGAAGGAAATATGTACCAATGTGGTCTGGTAATACGAGACACGCTCAAATGGTTATAGTACATTCCTTGAAATATAACTTGTGATAAGCATTGTAAATGCAGACTCATTCCTAAAAGTGAATGTGAAAATATATATGTGATGAAGATTATGCATAATAATGTGCTTATGTATGGTTGGATAAATACCACAACTCACCTCTAAGGAAGGTTTTAGAGAAATAAAGATAATGAATGTTACAATATGGTTACATGAATAAGTCATTGGTCGCATACATGTGGTACGCCAAAATTGCCATGCCTTATAAAGGTTATCAAAGGCAAAATTAAAGCAAGAAATAATTTTGCTTATGATGATGTTGACTGTGACAATTATTATGATATGATTTTCTCCGTGAACGAGACATTGACCATAGGGATGGTGTGACAAACGATCTTGTAGTATAAAATCAATTAAGGGATCTGAAAGAGCTAATTTGTTACTACCCGGATGAATGAATTGTTCATGACATTGATATTGTTGTAAGTCTCAAAAGAAACTTTTTGAGTTTCAAATATATTAACCAAAGTAGTTTGCATTTGAGACTATAAATGAAAGGAAGATTGAATATATTTATATTATATACTCATACCGGGTAAATATGAAAGGTTATCCAATTTTTCTTCTATATATATTACACATGTATAAGCATGATGATAGAATCACATGCCACAAGTACACTAGAAGTTTACAGAAACAAAAATTAGTTGGTATGACCGGTTGGCCATCACGGTTCAATTATGATGCGAAAATTAATTGAGAATTCACATTGGCATATATTGAAGAAATAGAGATTCTTCAAGAACTTGTGCTGCTTATTCTCATAATATACCAGTTAAGTTGGGATTGAATCTCTGGATTTCTGGAACGAATAAAAGGTGATATATATATATATATATATATATATATATAGGGCCCAGTCATCTTCCATGTGAACCTTTTACTATTATATAATTTTAATAGATGCATCTATTGTATGGTCATATGTGCGTTTGTTATCAACTTACAATATGGTTTTTGCAAGGTTGTTTGCTCAAATTATTGGAGCACAATTTTAGAATGTAAATTATGATGATTTATCTTGATAATATTGGTTTAAATCCAAGTCGGTTTAGCAAAAGTTGTATGCCTCCAATTATAGTTAAACCATTGGTTATGAGAACAAAACTCCCAAATAAAAATTCGGTATGAGGTGTATTATTAAATATACAATAGCACTTGTACACATCTAGCCAACAAGTTATGATAAAGTCTCCCTATCATAATTGGTTCAGGGTCAGGAACCAAACAATTTTCATCTAAAAATATGAATGTGCTATATGATTTAATTGTTCCACCACAATGCACAAAGTTGGGTTCCCAAAGAAGGTTTGGGATATGTGTTGGTGATCCCAATATTAGGGAGAGAAAATGGGCAGCTGAAAAAGTAATACATGGAATGAATTATTAAAAGTACACCTAGATCCTCGTACAAGAAAATGTGAAATTGAAGTTCAAGTGATAATTCATTTGCAAAATATTGCCAGACGCATTGGTTGA